TTGTTTTATTGATGGTTTCTTTTGTTGTGAAAAAACTTTTAAGTTTGATGTAGTCCCATATGTTCATTTTTTCTTTTACTTCCCTAGCCCGCGGGGATGTATCAGTAAAAATATTGCTCAGGGTAATGTCTGCAAATCGATTTTGTGTTTTGATATTGCATCCTGTGAACCTATTGAACTCATTTATTCCAGGAGTTTTGTTTTTTGTAGATTCCTTGAGATTTTTATACATAGACAATTACATATTCTGCAATGCCTTTTATTTCTTTTTCTTACATTATTGTAATAGCTCCAACTTCCAATACTATTGGGTTGTCAGAAAAGTCATGACGTATTTTTTCTAAGTTTTTTTGTTGCAAAAATGCGTCGTGACTTTTCCGACAACCCATTATGTTGAATAAGAATGGTGAGAGTATACATCCTTGCCTTGTTTCCAATTTTCATGAAAACATTAAATCTTTCTCCCTTACCTATGATATTAGTAGGATTTTTTGTTTATAATCTTTATCAAGTCTATGTAATTCCTAATTTTCTGAGTGTTTTTATCATGAATGGATGTGGGATTTGTCAAATACTTTACTGTGTCAGTTAATAGAAATATGATTTTTCAGAGCTTTTTGATAAGGTGGGTTATGTTGATCAATTTCAAATGTTCAACCAGCTTTGCATACCTGCAGTACATCCTACTTGATCATAGTATATAATTCTTACATATTGTTGTATTCAGTTTGCCAGTATTTTGTTGATCATTTTTTCATTTAAGTTCATGGAAGATATTAGTCTGTAATTTTCTTTTTTAGTGTATGGTCTTTATATGATTTTGCTATCAGGGTAATGTTGGCCTTATAAAATGAGTTGGGTAATATTTCCTCTTTTCCAGAAAAGATTGTACAAAATTAGTGTTAATTCTTTATTTGATAGAATCTTCCAGTAACACCATATGGACCTGGAGATTTCTTTTTTTGTGGAAGCTTCTTGATTATGAATTCAATTTCTGTAATGGTAATAGTACTATTCAGATTATCTATCTTATATTGGTTGAATTCTGACAGTTTATAGTTTTAAGGAATTGGTCCATTTTTCCAAATTTTTTTAATCCATGAACCTAAAGTTGTTTACAGTACTTCCTTATTATCTTTTTAATTACTGCACAATGTATAGTCATATACCCTATTTCCTTCCCAGTATTGGTGATATGTGTCATCTCTCCTTTTATTTTTGTCAGTCTTGATAGAGGTTTATCAATTTTACTTTGTTTTGAAGAACAAGCTTTTGTTTGATTGTGATTTCTGCTCTGATATTGTTTGCTTTCAACTTGCTTTGGGTTTATTTTGCTTTTTTGTGGTTTCTTGAGGTAGAAACTTAGATTATTGATTTGAGACGTTTTTCGTTGTAAGCTTTGAAGTCTATACATCTTCCTCTGAGCACTTCTTTATCTTCATTCCACATATTTTTATATAGTGTAATTTTATTTTCACTCAACTATGTATTTTTAAATTTTCTTTGAAACTTTCTCTTTGAACCATGGATTATTTAGGAGTGTATTATTTAATTTCATGTATTTTTAGATTTTCCTGTTACCTTTCTGGTTTTTTTAAATTCTAGTCTGATTCTATTTTTGTTAGATTGCCTTTATCACTCAAGTTGTGATTTTTTTTGGGTTCTCAGTCTGATGGGTGATTTTTTTTGTTGTATCCTGATCATTTTGTCTATTATGTTAGGAGAATCTGGGTTCTATTTAAATATTTTAATTTAATAGGCAATCACCCTACTTTAGTTTTAGCACATAGGTTCTTTCCTACATTTTTGGGATATGCTTCCAGTGACAGTTTAATTTTCAGAGCCTTTATGGTGTTTCCTTGGTTTATGTGGTACGGCTAGGGCTCCCATGTGTCCCTGCTTGTGCTCCCTTTGCTCCCTGAGGGCAAGGAAGGCATTTACCTAGGCCAGCATGTCTCTCAGTGGGAATGGGGAGTGTCAGGCCCACAGAGATGAAAAGGCTTCCTGGGCCGAGCTACTTGTGCCTAGGTACCTTTTTCTAGCTTTGCCTGACCACTTTGGTGTCTCCTAACGGGTTCTGAAGTCATCAAAAGGTTTCCCATTCAGACTGGGGAAGGAATAAGCCTATCCAGGCAGCCTTCTGTTGCTAGGTTGAGAATTAGGAAACACTAGATCTGGGTTGCCTTCTTCTATTGGATGTGGGATGTAAGACAACTTGCTATGTTATACTTCTAGTCCTGTGATCCCAAACCATTTTGCCTTATTTTTACTACTTTTTATAATTCTCTGTTGATTATGTCTTACGTTCTTTAATGGGCTTGTTGTTGGGCCTAGCAGGGAGGATCAGGGGGAAATGGGCCTATGCAATTTTGTCCAGGTTGGACAAGAAATCACTTGTTCCTGTATTTTTTTAAAAAACAGTCATCATTGGTTTTTCACTCCATTCCTAGTTTTCTTGTTCTAGGACACAGATGGCTAATTCTTGTGTTTATTCCAACAGGGCTAAAGCTTAAAAATGAAACAGGAAATGACCAAATTATATCTACTTCTACATTAGAAATGCAAACATCAGGATGCAAAATATTAAGAAAGGCCAGAATGAAAGTTGCCCAGAAAACAACTGGCAAAGAAAATCAAGGTGGTACACACAAGGTACAGAAACGGCCTAGAGCTTTTCCAGGAAAGAAAAAAACGAAACTTTCAACTTGTAAACAAGAGCTTCCAAAACATATGGATCTTCACAGGAAAGGCCATGCAGGAGAGAAACCTTTTAAATGTCAGGAATGTGAGAAAGGCTTCAGAGTTAGCTCTGACCTTATTAAGCACCAGAGAATTCACACTGAAGAGAAACCGTATAAATGTCACCAATGTGATAAAAGGTTTAGATGGAGTTCAGATCTTAATAAGCACTTAATGGCACACCAAGGTATAAAACCATATAGATGCTCATGGTGTGGGAAAAGCTTCAGTCATAACACAAACCTACACACACACCTAAGAATTCACACAGGAGAGAAGCCCTTTAAATGTCATGAATGTGGGAAAAGATTCATTCAGAACTCACACCTCATTAAACACCAGAGAACCCACACAGGTGAGCAGCCTTTTTCCTGTGGCATATGCAGGAGAAAATTCAGCAGGCGCTCAAGCCTTGTTAGACACCAGAAGCTCCACAGGAGAATGGAGTCGTGTCCAGTGCCTCCAGTCTGAAGAAAGTCACTGTATGGAGCTTGGCCCTCAGAGGTGATGAAAGAGTACAAAATTTTGAGGCACCTGATAATGGGAGTTTGTCATCAACAGACAATTTGGGAGGGGTTCATGTCATGATTCACATAAAGGAATGTAAGCTGTCTCTTATTCAGCATTTTATCTTCAGTGCCTGGCACAAGACTGATGTATGAGTACTTTATAAATAAAAGAATGAGAATATAGCTATCATATATCTATAGTTATCTATATATCTGTCTGGTTACTCAGTTTCCCCACCCTCTGTAATCTAAATTCTTCAGGTATCAGGTGCTCAGCAAATGTATGATGGTCATTAGTTTTGCTCTCATTCTTTCTCAGGAGAGATGGAAAATAAGTGTATTTTATATTTTAAAATGTTAAAGTTGCATAATTTAAATTTTAAAATTGCATAGGTTCTCTATGGCTATTCTGTCTGCATGAACAACCAATCCCAGGGCTCAGAGAACTTTATTCTGGAACAGGAAGAAGTGCCCCCATTCTAGTTGCCCCTCTCCTGAGCACCCACTGCTACATTGTTTTCTGTCAAGGAATTCCAAGCCACAAGCGAAGGCCTGAATGCCAACACAGACCTAGGGACTTGCAAATACTTGATATCTCTCCTCCTGCTGGTCTAGTCAACACTGAGGTATATAGAATGAAATGGTGAAGGAGGCAGTCTGGGCCCTCATTCAGATACGTGTATTTTTGTAGAAAGCACAGGGCAATGGTGAATGGCTTTTTTTTACTTTGACTTTATGTAGACTGGAGGCTTCCAAGTTGGTGCCACACTGCTCCAAGGCCTAAAGAGAGGCCCATTATTATGGCTGCTCAGCACAAGCCCACACACCCAGATGCTTTACAGGAATGTCTGGAGATTTTGCAAAGTAATTTACTGTGAATGGCAAGGGGAACCTTGTGGCCTTCTAGCCACAGTGCACGTTTGATACCAGGAGGGAACGTCCATAAGTGTCAAGAGCATAGTAAGACCTGCGACTTAAAATGAAGGCCCCAGTGAGCTAGGTTAATTAGAAACTTTTTTTTAAGATTTTTATTGGGGAGTTGGGGGATGGGAACAGCGCTGGGGAATTGGGGGAAGGGGAACAGACAAGTTGCTGTCCTTTTGTTCTTCAGTCTAGTTGTGGAGGACGTTGCTTCCCTGGCCCAAGTTGGCACCATCATTGCGCTCTTCCTGGGCGAGGCAGATCAGTCGCCGGCTTCTGGACGGCCGCTCACTGCGGCTGCTGGCTGCTCATGCTGGCTACTGGCTACACATGGTAGCCCATGGCAACCCACTGCCACAGGGGCTGCAGCCTACGCCGTTGCCAGTGACTCACGGCACCCCAGCTGTAGGTTGAGCTATTGTGCAGCATCTTAGCTGTAGAGGGCAGTGTCACTGGCCCTCATATGTGGGATCCGAACCGGAGCCCTCTGGTGTCCCAAGCCAGCTCCTAACCAACGTGCCACTCAGCCGGCCCAGATGGAAACTTTTTTGATGGTTGTTTCTCTTCTTTCCCCATTGGCCTCTGTGATTATCTCCTGAGAAGCAATGTGATGTCAAGGGAAGGGCAGGGAAGTTGGGAGACATGGATTTATATCTGTCAGATCTTAGATTAACACACTGTTTGCGGGAAACGAGTAAACTCGTCGTATAGAGAAAAATGCCCGCTTACAAAGTGTTAAGAGATTGACCAAGGCTGGTAGAAGGGTGCAACAAGTTTGCCAATCCAAATCCCTGTTCTATGCAGGTTGTGTTTTTGAGCAGTCTGAGGAAAGTCACCCTCCTACTCAACTAAAAAAAAAGACGTGGGCCAAGGCTTCTATATATTAATGTATAAAATTTTACACCTTTTTATGAAAGTGGCATGTTGTTTCTTATTATATTTGAACATAAAACATTGTTACTAAATCACCCAGAGATGGCCATTATTCACTTTTTTAAAAAATAGATATCTTCAGATATTTTTCCCATCAAGAGACCTCTCTAAGCCTCTTCAGATTTGTCAAATGGTGATCATTCTTTTCTTTCAGGGCTGCTGTGAGGATTAAATGAGAGACGTGAGCATGCCTAACATTAACGGGCCACAGTAGATGTTCCATAAACATTTGGAACATTCTTTCTTCATCTTTCAGCTAGTTATTTTTAAAAGAAAATCAACTTGTCTACTTGTCCAGATTTTAAGCATCCCTAATTAATAGGGTTTCCATCATTTCCAACTGGTTTTTAAGCCTTCTAATGATGGTCAGAATGGTAGCCTTCTGGTACGACATTCTTTTGTAGAGATGCTTCTCTTTAGTCAGTGTTAAACAATAAGCTAATGTCCCCATTCAGCTAGATACACTGCTAATGAGTAACAGAACCAAAATATACTCGATGTCTGAAAAGGGGGAGGTGATGGCTAGGGTTGGAATTTTTGTGGATAAAATTTATACTTTGAGGTGCATCCTCAAATTAATGAAAGAGGGAAATGATGACTGTGTAGAATGGGTACTAAAAATAAAAGAACTAAGTACAGAGGAGGAAGTGGCCTGGAAGGAAAAGATCCCGTTATATTTCTAAAGGCTTGGTGTCACGTCCTGCGTGGCAAGGGCATTGGGAAGAGAGTGGGGTGATGCAGAGTGAAAGAGCACAAGAGACAGAGATAAGGCTAAGGCGGGACCAGGGGGCGTCAGCCTGTGGACTGAGCCCCGGAATCGGGTCGTTGCAAGGCTTTTATTGAGAAAATTTCAAGGAAGTGAAACTGGATTACTCAAAGACCCCTGTGTCACGTGCCTTAAGGCTGTTTTCCATTAACCAGCTCCCACTGTACTCCAACATGTACTGTGCCTTCATACAGCCTGCACAGCCCCCAGAACAGCGTTACTCTACCGCGTCCTATATAATTAAGGGAGATCACCGATACCATTCCCCCGGGTCTCGGTCATTCAGAGACACTTCCTCAGGACCTTGTTAGGTCATGGGTTATTGCGGGGGAGGGGCGGTCGTGGATGTAGCTTTAAGGTAACAACTTGTAGACTGACTGCTCCACTATTCTTTCCAGAACTATCTGAGATTGTGCCCTTGGATCTAAGGGGAAATTCAACTTCTTGGCAGAGGGCACTCTCTCTGTGTGAATATGTACGGTACCACCCTGGATAGCTGCTATCATTACCACCATTCAAAGGACATTTATTTGTGTAGTATTTAGAAGAGATTGACTCAAATACTGAAGGAAGTACTGCATCAATAGAGCAAGCCCATTCATGAGAGCAAAGTTCCTGACAACGGGCCAGCAAAATGGCACTCCATTTTCACAAAGCTGCCAATTTCTGTTATAACACCTGTTAGCTTGAAAGCTCACCTATCTCTAAGGTTCTCATCTAGTATTCCCAGGACAGATAAAAAACAGGGAACATGGGTCTTATTTTAAAGATAAGTTATTTAAGGTATGTGGCAGGAAGGCTTTTAGATATGACTGGGCAGAAACAAAGAGCACTGAGGATACCTGGTTCCAAGTTCCAACTCCAATACCCTTTGAATGCAAGGGCTCCAGGAAGAAAGGACATTTTTGTCTGTTGTGGAACAGGATTTAGAAGTTAGACATTCCCACCTGACTCATCAGTACCTATTACCTTTCACCCCTCTGACACTGCCTCCTAGGGCCCCAGTCCCCATGCATCCTGACCACTTGTATCAGCCCTCACCATCTCAAAAAAAGACATGGGCACTAAGAAAAGAAATGGCAGAATGGAATAAAAGGGAGGGATACCACTCTGCTTTTTACTTGCCCACCGCCTCCACAGCATATAGCTAAGAGATGTGACCTCCACTGCCTTTCTGAAGACACAACAGGAAGACAGCATATGAGAGCTTGGGGACTGGAGAAGCAAGCCGATCATTTATTCAAGGGACAGAGTGAAGAGGCAGAATGCTCCAACTTCAGATCTCACAGGAGGAGACAAATGCAGACCTGAGCCAGGTGTGAGGGGTGTGGGTTCACATCTTAGTCTCTGTGCTCCTGTCCTCAGGAAGTGAAGGACATCAGGGAGAAGATGGGCTGGGCAGAAAGAGATGAGAAAGGGGCTGGGAGAGCAGAGGACAGCAGTCCTTTTCCACTCAGGTGTGCATTACAAGGCCTGAAGTTAGAAGTCATGAGAGGGAGCAGAAAGCTGCTGCTTGCTGTGGCTGAGGCACAAGAGCATGTCAGTGTGTCCCGGCCGGTTTGTACAGGACCCAGCTCTTTACCTTCTCCCTCCAAGCAAAAAAGTCCACATCTTCTACTGAAGAGCCTGTTTAGGTGCCCTTTAGCCCTTCCTCCACCCCCAAGCAGCCTCTTCCTCCTTCACTGCCTTGCTTTCCCTGCCGCAGGCCAAGTCTGCTCCTGCCACTTTGCCACTCCTGTTCTAATAGAGCAGGAAAGATACCCAGGAACATGACCTAGTGACGGTTAATATTTTTTACTGTTCCCAGAGAAATGGACACAATAACAGAATGGCTAGATGTGGGGGAGAGCTGTTTCTAATTTAACAGAGGGCCGCTTTCTACTGTGGCAGGAGTGTAAGGACCTTATTTTCGTGGAGGTTTTATCACATAAGCATGATCGATCATTAACTTCACTTTCCAGCCCCCCTCTTCCCAGATGATGGGGGTGCTCCAGGCTTCTAACCATGGCTTGGTCTTTCTGGTGACCAGCCCCCATCCTGAAGCCACTCAGGAGCACATCAAGAATCACCTCAACAGAACAAAAAACACTCCTATCACCCAGGAAATTCCAAAGGATTTAGGAACCCGGTGTCAGGAACCAGGGTCAAAGACCAAATATTAAAACAAAAGATGTTCCTCGCATTCTTATCACTTAGAACATTACAAAGGTTTCAGGAGCTCTGTGCCAGGAACTGGAGACAGAGACCAATATATATTTTTTTCTATTATTTTACATTCACTCTGCTTTATTTATTTGAAAGTAATGACAACACAATCAATAAAATTCAAATGACTTCAAAACCCAGTGTTTGTCCCCACTAAAACCAGGGTTGCATACAGTTTAAATGATGATAGACAAATATTTTTGTCCTTGAAGCTCCTCTGCCCATCCAACCTTTATATCATAAGATTAAAGAATTCTCATGTTCCTGCCTTTGAAACAGACAAAATCAAAAGAGATTATAAATAGATTGTTACAAATCCGGACAATTATTATTTTTTTCATATAGTGTAAACCAAATATTAACAAATTGTACAATTGTATACCAC